TTTGTGATCTGAACTTTGGGATCTGCACTTTGGGATCTGCATTTTGGGATCTGAATTTTGGGAACTGCACTTTGGGATCTGTATTTTGGGATCTGCACTTTGGGATCTGTATTTTGGGATCTGCACTTTGGGATCTGAATTTTGGGATCTGAATTTTGGGATCTGCATTTTGGGATCTGCACTTTGGGATCTGAATTTTAGGAACTGCACTATGGGGTCTGCACTTTGGGATTTGCATTTTGGGATCTGCATTTTGGGATCTGCATTTTGGGTTCTGGATTTTGGTGTCTGTGTTTTGGGATCTGAACTTTGGGATCTGAACTTTGGGATCTGAATTTTGGTATCTGAATTTTGGGAACTGCACTTTGGGATCTGCGTTTTGGGATCTGCGTTTTGGGATCTGTGTTTTGGGAACTGCATTTTGGGATCTGAGTTTTGGGATCTGCACTTTGGGATCTGAGTTTTGGGATCTGAATTTTAGGATCTGAACTTTGGGATCTGAACTTTGGGATCTGCACTTTGGGATCTGAATTTTGGGATCTGTGTTTTGGGATCTGAACTTTGGGATCTGCACTTTGGGAACTGCATTTTGGGAACTGCATTTTGGGGTCTGGATTTTGGGGTCTGGATTTTGGTGTCTGTGTTTTGGGATCTGAACTTTGGGATCTGAATTTTGGGATCTGAACTTTGGGATCTGCATTTGGGGTCTGAATTTTGGGATCTGTGTTTTGGGATCTGAACTTTGGGATCTGAATTTTGCGATCTGAATTTTGGGATCTGCACTTTGGGATCTGCATTTTGGGATCTGCATTTTGGGGTCTGGATTTTGGTGTCTGTGTTTTGGGATCTGAACTTTGGGATCTGAATTTTGGGATCTGAATTTTGGGAACTGCACTTTGGGATCTGCATTTTGGGATCTGCACTTTGGGATCTGCATTTTGGGTTCTGAATTTTGGGATCTGCACTTTGGGATCTGTGTTTTGGGATCTGCATTTTGGGAACTGCATTTTGGGATCTGCACTTTGGGATCTGTGTTTTGGGATCTGCATTTTGGGAACTGCATTTTGGGATCTGCACTTTGGGACCTGCATTTTGGGATCTGAGTTTTGGGATCTGCATTTTAGGATCTGAACTTTGGGATCTGCATTTTGGGGTCTGGATTTTGGTGTCTGTGTTTTGGGATCTG